CCCCCCCCCCACTGGGGTTTCCGCTGCAGGTTGTGGAAACACAAGCAAGCTTTAATATTTCAAATCTCAGCTGCCCGCTTAATCTTTCCCATGTAGTTAATGTTCGCGAATGGCCGAAGATCTCTTTCAGCTACCGGGCTCCTATGAAGCCGGCAGCTCGTTAAGTTTTAACAAACTCAGCACATGCTTGACGCTTTTAATGATCGCTTACCATTCGGTGGTTGGCAGGATGAGCATTAAGCTTCACCCGAGCACCACGTGGCGTTTCCGAGGGCTGCTATTTCAGAAAGGGGCGGCATGGGCTGGAAACCTCGAATTTTGTAAATTCACGGAGGTGGGACTACAAAAGGGCCGGCTGTCGGAATCCCGTAAACCCAGCTGTGGATGTGAAGCCTTCCCTGAAGCCAGCCGAGAACCCCTCCCCGCCTTGCCCCCGCCCCCCACCCCGAGCGTGATTTGAACTGGTGTCCCCCGAGCCCTACAGTTCTCCCACAGCCCGCAGTGGGCTGCATCTAACACGCCCGGCGCTGTTCCGCAGACCTCTGCTGATGGTCTTTAAAGGGAGAAGGTTCAAAGAGGCTTGGTTCCCAGGCCTGCTAATGAGCGCGGGGCCCCTTCCCGGTTAATGAACCGGCGTTTCTGTGGGATTCTTTCCCTTGCCCTTTTTGAAGGGAAGGCAGGCAAGGGTTCACAAAAGCAGCAGCGCGCAGCTGAGCCACCCGAAGGCGGCCCGGCGGGGGGGGGGGGGGGGGGGGGGGGGAAGCACCGAAGCCGGCGGGGATCGTGTCCCGGCCCACGCGGCTCTGGGTGTGAGGCTGGACCTCCCGCCAGCCCGGCCCGTCGCCGGCGACAGGGAGGCGACAGGGACAGGCCCTGGATGGGAGTTTGTCGGCCGGGAGGGCCACGCGGGGTCCCCTCGGCAGCCCTCGCGAGCCTCCCCGCCGTAACGCGACGGCCTGACGCTGCCGTCCGATCTGCAGGCGTTACCGTTGTCAGTGACTTACCAGATGCATGTTGAAGCCCCGAGAATCCTTGTTCTAATTAACTGAATCGTTATTAGTCATTGGGACCCAAGCTCACCGCAGCCCCTGAAAAGGCCCGTAGGTATTTTTTCTCTGCTTCCCTCTGCCCACCCACATCCCACTGCGGGATCAACGAGTAGAATTATTCAGGAGGGTAGCGAACGCATGCCAGAAACATTGCCTCTGTCACGATCATCTCCGCGAAAGTCAGTGTTTTTCCTCGGGAATATATTTGGGAAGCGGACATCGCGTATTTAAGCGTTATCGTCGCCGCCGAAGCCACGCGTTTGATTTCACGCACATTTCATGCCCGTTTCCACGGGAGGTGCCTTTCTACTTCTCTGAAGCCTGCTTTGGTGTCACAGAGGGAGAAATCCTGCGGACGCATAAACGTTCGCGTGTAAGGTCATCGATTCCGAGTTCTGAAAGGCTCTCGCTCATTAGTTAGCATTTCTACATTTTAATTCTCAGCACACGGTAGAAGTTGGCCGTGACCCACTCAGGTTATTGGGATCAGATACAAATTGTGGAAACTGCCGTTTCAGTAACTTGCCAGTTTGGAGTAAGACCTTTTAGCAAGCAAAATGGCAAAAACCCACTCGCTGCTTTCAGGGACTGGCTTAGGGTGTTTCTCCCCGCCTCGTTGCCCCACGTGCACAGAAAGAGAATTATTTGGAACGTACACGCATTTTACCCTTCCGTGACCCGCGTTCGGAATCATTTTGAGACGCATTCAAAGCTGACAGCCCCCCATGGCTGACCCCCTCGCGCCTAATCACATCTTACGTTCTGTTTCCAGATAGCTGATCAGCTTCCTTGGATTTTGCTGATGACCCAGGAGAGCTTTGCCTGAAGATGGAAACACTGGAGTCGGAGCTGACCTGCCCTATTTGTCTGGAGCTCTTTGAGGACCCTCTCCTGCTGCCCTGCGCACACAGCCTCTGCTTCAACTGTGCCCACCGCATCCTGGTGTCGCACTGTGCCACCAACGAGTCCGTGGAGTCCATCACCGCCTTCCAGTGCCCCACCTGCCGACATGTCATCACGCTCAGCCAGCGCGGTCTAGACGGACTCAAGCGCAACGTCACCCTGCAGAACATCATCGACAGGTTCCAGAAAGCGTCCGTGAGCGGGCCCAATTCCCCCAGCGAGACCCGCCGGGAGCGGGCGTTCGACGCCAACGCCATGACCTCCGCCGAGAAAGTCCTCTGCCAGTTCTGTGACCAGGACCCTGCCCAGGACGCTGTGAAGACCTGTGTCACTTGCGAAGTGTCCTACTGTGATGAGTGCCTGAAAGCCACTCACCCAAACAAGAAGCCCTTTACAGGGCATCGTCTGATTGAGCCAATTCCGGACTCGCACATCCGGGGGCTGATGTGCCTGGAGCACGAGGATGAGAAGGTGAATATGTACTGTGTGACCGATGACCAGTTAATCTGTGCCTTGTGTAAACTGGTTGGGCGGCACCGAGATCATCAGGTGGCAGCTTTGAGTGAACGCTATGACAAGTTGAAGGTTAGTCCGATCCGCCTTAAGCCAACCCCTTTCTGCCAGCAAATGTCATGGGAATCAAAAGTGTACTCACTGCTAGCTACATGGCAGGTGAAGGTTTCCTCTTCACCTTTGCTATCTGATTAGTTTTAGCATGTTTTCTGGCAGCCTATAAATGTTGCACAATGAGGGTGTCTTGTAAAAGTTGACGGCCGCTTGTAATTTTAGCGTTGTCACGGTGACGGTGAATTTGCAAAACCTGGATCGTCTTCAACCCTTGCAGTTTTGAGTTTTGTGTGTGTGTGTGTGTGTGTGTGTGTGAGAGAGAGAGAGAGAGAGAGAGAGAGAGACAGACAGAGAAGGAAAGAAGGAATGGCAGATAAAATCTGGCTTTGGGCATTTGCAGCGGCTGGGCGGGGGGGGCATTCAGTTTTTCATTCATCCAGGAAAGCTAATTTCACCCGAATTGTACCTGGATCTAAGTTACCCGCATAAACGAAAGGACACAAGGAGGACAGCCTGTGGCAACTGTGGGCTTTTGGAGGACCTGTGACCTTTCATTTCTCGTGTGAGTGATATCTGGCTTCTTGGTGAGTTAGAGCGCGCTGACCATCTCGGGTTTCACGAAGGATTTCCTTTTCATTTAGGCTTTGTGTTCAGGAAGGTTACAGGCAAGACTATTTGAACTTCCACTTTTAACATGAAATTATTAACCTGACTCCAGCTCGGGGAACGATAATTAATATGACTATACGTCAAATTAAAAAATCACTCTCTAAATATGGGTAGAATGCACCAGGGAAGAAATAAGTCAGGTCTCCCGATGTCTGTTCAACTTCAGGCGACGGCGGGTCTAATTATGGCAAACTCAGCCGAGAGTTTGCTCTGATAGTGAGATACTGTGCTCACCAGTCAGTTTTAGATCACAAGACGCCAATTAAAAAGAAAGGAAGTAGAAATTAAGAGCTTTGAGTAAATATATATTCAAGTCCTTCCTCTCAGGAAAAACACACACCGTGTTGTTGAGCAAACAGAAAATGAATCACATGATCGAGAGTGCTACCATTGGGAGCACACCGTCACCTGTCACAAGTGGTTCCTATCACTTTTCCTCAGCTAATGGGTGGTTGTGTTTCCCGGGACCTCATTGTTTATTTTGTGACGCTGGGATTAATGGACCACACCTGTGATTTGGTCTGGCTGTGTCTTGAGACGCGGAGGGAAATGGAGGAGCTGAAGTGAATCCCGCTCCTGAGTGTCACTTGGGGAACAAAACCTCACCTGGGCAGCACGCCTCACTCTTAAGTGTCCATGGAGAGGGAGTTAAGCCCGAGGACTTAGGTGCTGGGGACAAGGGGACATGGAAGCTGCCTGGTTTTCTAGCGTGCCCGGCGCTACCACAAGCACACCTCCAAAGTTAACGACGGCGGAGGCAATGCGTGTGCGAATTGTGCCCCTGAAACAAATTCTTCGGAAATGGATGCGGCGATCCATCTTGGAGACCAAGGTGACCGTTTCGCCCCTGTTTCGGTGGGGGACTGAACGTTTGAGATGACCGGACACAGGTGGTTTTGTTTTCCCAACGTAAACCTGGCGGACGGGGTCTTTTCTTTGTCACAAAATGTTCCTCTGACTGGATCGACACTGCCTTTTGATGATCAGTTGTTAAAACCCCACCGTGATGTTCAATATTCGACAACCCCGGACTCGATAGTTAAACTTGGTAGTCAGGTTCTGCTCGATATTTGTGTACTATCAGAGGGGAGTTATTAATTATTTACAGAACATCTCCAAATTTTTGAGGAGATACTGTCATGCTCTAGGCCCTTCTTGTGATGAAACGGACAACTCTTCAATTATGAGCCCTGCACACTTGTCTGATCGAGCCAGTGGGTTAGTGGTCGTTGATAATTGTCAGGCCCTCCTGGTAACAGTATCAGTTAATGGAGCAGTATATTTTCTCTTCGAATTATAGAAGCATAAGCATATAAACAGCACCCAGTGCACCCAAGCACATTTACAGCCACTCAACCAAATACGCTTCCGAGCATTTATTTACAGCCTTTTCACAAAATGCGCTTATGAGCATTTAAACAGATAACATGCCAACGTAACGTGTTTGCTCCAAAACACGCCATTAGAATGGACAAATCATAAGAATACCCTGACATGTGGGGCGTCTGTGATATTTCAGCTGTCACATAATTATGAACGTACGTACTTCTTTGTTTTGCTTAAAACCCAAGCACAGCGCGTGCATTAATATTTGAAAGGACCAAAGCCAAGGAAGGGTGTTTTTGTCAATTATTACTTTGGTCTGAACAAGTGACTATGCTCTGTAAATTGGATATGTAGGGACGCAAGGGTTTCCTGTTGAAAAACGTGTGTGTCCGTCCTTCTGTTAGTAAAAGTCCACTATTTGAAGACAGGAATTCTGCAATGATGACGAAGAACAATTATTTCTTGCACTGATCTTAAACCTCGGGGGGCACCTTTACTCATGTTAGGTCTCAGTATACGTATGTTTATGTAAAGAATTGGAATATACTTTTGCACATCACTTTCTAGGCACAAAAGGAAAAACAAAGCAGAAAAATCCCAACGTGTAGAATTTTATCTTAAGATAAAAAGAGAAAAGTCTTCCTACCAAATGCACGTCTCTAAATGGAGCATGTCATACTGTGGACTTTCTTGCGTCATTCTAATTGAATTTGAAGAAGTCTCTCGGTGCCCCAAATCTGGATTAAATTTTGATTGGTGAACTACATAACATATAAGAGAATTTAATATAGTGTATGGCAGAGTGACCGAGGAATTTCAATGCAATCATTCCATTTTTTCCCTGTTCCAACATACGATGTTGGAGCTCTAGTTTCTTTTCTCTAGTTATACCTATAAAAATATACAAACTGAGAGAAACTGACCTTGCCTTGCCCTTCAACTTCAGCATAGACTCACTTCAAGTTAGCTGATGCTGAAGGTCCAAACCATTGTTTTGCATTTCTGACTCTAAAGGCTGGCTGAGGGAGTTTATTTGTATGATGTCCGTTTCAATGGGTCATCCCAGTGGAATTTGGTCACAGTTTGGTAAAAGTTCCAATTCAAGCTTAGCCTTCCTGTGTAGTCCTTCTTATCTGGAGGTCAAGACAAGGGATTTCACTCTTGGGTTTCATTTATAGATTGTAAGGTTCCATAATTTGGAAAGTCCTGTACTTTATTTGCAACCGGGAATGTCGTAAGTAGATACTTGCCTAGACTGGTTTTCTCTTTCCTCAGAATTTCTACACCTTGTCCCTTCTCTGAAAATAGTCACAGGCATAGTACGGGTTCCAGCGCAAAGGTGTGTGTGTGTGTGTGTGTGTGTGTGTGTTACATGGTGCATCCATGGTACCGATAGAGTTATCTGGCCCCAAATGTCAATAGTGCCCAGTCGAGAGACCCTGGTCAGTGAGAAGAATTTAGTGTTCATCACTGTAGTAATTTGGTAGGCTGCCCTCACAAGGGATCACAAGCACAGTGACCTAAGCAACAGAAATTTATCGTCCCACAGTTTTGGAGGCAAGAAGCCCAGAACCAAAGTGTAAGCAGGGTTGACTCCTCCTGAGGGCTGTGAGGGGAGGGATGTGCTCCAGGCATGTCTCCGTGGGTTGTAGGTGACTGTCTCCTCTCTCTCTCAGGTGCCGTTCTCCCCCTGTGCTCGTCTTTGTGTTCAGATTTCCCCTTTTTATAAGCACACCAGTCATACTGGAGGACGGGCCCACCATCCTCCAGTATGGCCTCATCATAACTAATTACATCTGCAATGACCCGATTTCTAAATAAGGTCGCATTCTGAAGTTATAGGGGGTTAGGGGCTCAACGTGTGAATTTGGGGGGGCACAATTCAACCCACAACAGTTCCTTACTTCAATGTGTACCTAATTATCTAGTCAGTTGAACACATATTCTTTCTCCATCAAGGATTTAATCACCTCAAGTTAGGCAGAGCCCTGTGGGCTCGCACTGCCCCGGCACTCACCTAAGACTGACCGTGGGGGCTTGTAGATCATGAATTCCCAATAAACTCTTGTCAGCTGCTTCACTGATGATCAACTATTAATCCTCCGTGGAAATTTTAATTTAAGGCCATAACAATACTGCCGATACTCATTCTTCTACGTGACAAAGCATCCTATAATATCTAAATGAGAGAGGAGCCAGGCGTTACATGACATTCCACCCAACTGGACGTGAACCATAATTTTGGACCCTATCGCGTTTTGTTGGCTTAAAGGCCATGAATTTTGATAAACTAGATCTCGGCTAATTGTGCAACAATTCACATTTGTTTCACGCTCTTATGTGATGGGCACTTGATAGACCCATTAAACCCATTGTTTCATTTCCCCTCCAGTTAACCATATCTGGCATCTAGGTGTTGCTTTAACGGGCTGCCGAGAACTGCTAAGCCAGTATATGATTAATAAATGACCGGGCACAGCCTCCTTCCTTCGTGGCGCTCATAGTCTAGCAGAGAACTCCAATCAGGCCAATATTTTCTCTGTTGGTGGGGGCGGGGGGGGGGAAGCACTGCATGCCCACAACAGCAAACACCAACCCTAAACCTGAGCGATGGAGAAAGGCTTCCCAGAAAAGGACCATGACACTCACCATTCCCAGCCTTTTATTAGAAAACGTTGAATTTCCTAGGTGTCTGTAACTGCCCTGGTGCTAGTCATTCTGTTTTTTTTTTTTTAAGTTTGTTTATTTTCCATTTTATTTTTTTATTTGTTAAAATTTACATCCAAATGAGTTAGCATATAGTGCAACAATGATTTCAGGAGTAGATTCCTTAATGCCCATTACCCATGTAGCCCATCCCGCCTCCCACAAGTCCTCCAATTACCCTCTGTTTGTTCTCCATATTTAAGAGTCTCTTCTGTTTTGTCCCCCTCCCTGTTTTTATATTATTTTTGTTTCCCTTTATGTTCATCTGTTTTGTCTCTTAAAGTCCTCATATGAGTGAAGTCCTCTAATTTTTGTCT